TGGCCCTGGATGGAGCTTCATCACCAAAAATTGAACCAAGTTCATCCATGCATTGCTGCTGAGTTAGTCCACGTCGAAAATTGTAGAAAATCGTCGCGCGAAAATGCTCACAATTCAACCCCATAACTCGGCCCAAACAAAATCTTATAACTTTGTGTGAACAACACAAATCGCGATCAAATTTCGCAACGGAACCTCAAAATAGTCAAACTTTACGATAGTGGTGTAAGTTGCTAGATTGCTACACGAGTGTTGCCAAATCTCAAAATATAAAAGGCAACCTTCGTACTTGTACTTCTTGCTCTTATTAGGACTAAAGTTAAGACATAACTAGTTGTAAATAGTTTATCACTAAGAGCACAGCAAGCGCTAAAATATTGAACTCTGAGATGAATACGGACAGTATAATCTGGACGCCACCCGTATCACCAAAATTTTGAAGGTTTACTCGAGAGAAGCTATCAGATGAAAGCAGCACCATGCAATCCAATGGTGACATATTCTCTTAAGGAATTGCCTGGACGGAAACTCAACGGGATTTCACTGGCTACCAGAAGACAATAGGTTAAGATACTTCAGAGGTATGGAGTAGCCAGAAATTGGATCTGTGTGGATATTTCGGTCATGATTAGAAAATGCCTATGAATCGAGGCGAGAACAAGCGGAATGAGGCATCAATTTATGGAATTAATTTCAGTATAGGATCAGAACAATTCTTTAGACCCAGTACTTCCTGTCTTTTACTAACCCCTCTGAAGTGCATTCGCTGTTTTTTCGGCTCTAGACCGCAACGCTTCATTTCCTTTGAAGCAACTCCTCGAAGAAAAAAACGTGCAGTGTGCTAGGAGCCTCACAAAATGATTTTGTTATCACATAGACGCTCTACCAATAATGTAAACTTCGCTACGGATTTATTTTCAGATCATCTCGTCATTCTTCTCTCGCCTATTCCGCCATCGTCTCATTTGTGTAATATTTTCTTATAGTATCTATAGTGTACACCACATTTGAGTCAACTGTCACTTGTGTGAAGTACTCCACCATTGAGCTCGTGACAAAAAGAGTAGCCAGCGCTTGTTGTGTGGTAAACTGACCAGTATATATTGGTGTCACTGAAAGCGGGACATAAAAAGTCCTTAGTTTTATTGTTTAACTACATCCAGCAAAGACGGATCGTATCGAAATAGAACAAATCTTATACCCCGGAGTTGTACCGGTCCAAAGATTTCTGATTATGTACAGCTTAACCAAAAATATTACAAGCGCGGAATAGTCCTTCAGTCTTGATACTCATTCTAAAATATGACAAAGATCAGGATGTCAATGATCATTCGAATGCACAACAGTGACTAGTCGTAGGTAATTGCTCTGATTATTACTTCTATACTGTCTGTATAGCAAATAAGGAAACAGAAAAATAAAAGGCTAAATGAACGGGAACTGGACGGTACTGCATCACTCCAGTGCGATTTCATGATTTTTAGCCCATCGTCGGATTGTAGATGACACAAAATCCGCTTGTGGATGATTGCCACGATCGAGCAGATGCAGTACTTCCGACATTTGCTCACTGCAAAATAAAAATACGTTGAAGACCACCAAAGAAGGCTCTCTTCCATCTATGCTGGTTCGTAAAAGCATAAACTTATTTGCGAAAAGCTTTCATTGATAATTCTAAAAATCCTCATGGAGAAACAATGTTATTTCTCAGTACAGACACGTGGGGCTCAATTGAATTATAGGCCGTCATCTTTGAACATTTTAAAGAGAAAGGTAAAGCGAAGTGACTAACTTCGTAGCCTTTCCCTGAACCAACATCTTGAACAATCCACTGGTGGCTCCTCGTTTTCCCTGCCAGTTCTCCGGGGAAGGGTCGATTTTTTCGAGTCCATCGAATGCCTTGGCCGCAAAGTAGAACTCACCCATCTCAAAAATTTAGTTAGAGTTGTCAATACATAATATAAATGTAGAAATATCTTTTAATGTACAGAGTGTCACAGAATTGTGGGCGTCTATTCATTGCAATGAAACTAAAGCTTCTTAGCTGAGAACAGCGTGAAACCTATATGCACATTTGCTCATATCACATACACAAGCAAGATACAAACTCATTTAGAATACCTCCCCCCCCCCCCCCCCCCCCCCCAAATCAACATCGATAGAAAGTCGAAGTCTCCTTTCGGTCTCTCCACATTTTGTGCGCAGGTATCCCTCGCCCACTTCTTCGAACCATCCTTGAGCATCGCTTTCAAGGCCTTCAGGCTAGGACTGCAAACCCGACAGGCTCTCTTGTAATCATGAACCATACAGAAGAGACAAAGCGGTTAAGATATAAGAACAGGAAGGTCATTCCCCTATAATGATGTAGTGAGGCACTTGGCGTCGGCACTACTCCTGGACCTGCTTGAAGGACCACGTTTTAATTTAGGAAGCGGGGTTGGACTAATGATTCAGTACGTCCATCAGTAAGCTTTTTAAGGGCACTCCTTTCTCAATTTTCACGCCAGCACCGATAAACTAACACGTTTACCATTGCTTGTAACTGCCACAAAAAACATAGATTTGCTACTTCCGTAACAACTTTTATGTGAGAGATTGCACTGTTCTTTCTATAATCCAATCACTTTATTCCCGCGGATTTTTCTCAACAGAGAAAACGATGAAGCGATGAGTATTTCCACTTGAGTGAGTTAGCAACGTGCTGAGATTCTTGACCATACATACAATGCCCACTAAAATCGGAAATGAAGTAACCCTTCCGTATATGATAGCAATAGCCATGAAGCTCCTGCTTGACAATCCGTCCCGTCGATAACTTCGATAAGTACTGCTCCGTTGTCATCCTTTTGATGGTTCACCAAGATTACGATCGGCGAGCAGGCTAAGTATTTTAACAGTCCTGCTTTTGAAAGCACTGGCCTTTCCATCCTCTCCCGATTTGACTTCGATTGATTTTGCTCTTTCGTATCGTTCAAAAGCCTTCAACCTCCGCCCGGCCATTATTGGAATCACCAGAAATTCTACTCTGCCTTTCAGCCTCTCGCATAGGAACGATTACAAGTAGCACTGAATTAGACTTCATCATCTCGGAGATATACGGAGTCACACCTGAGTAACTATGTAGATTGCAAGAGAACCTCCTTATCCAGCTAAATTGTAACGAAAAAACTAAAATAAAAAACATGTTTGCCTAAGAACTTTCTGAATTTGGGCGGCCATGATTTTGGGACACCTTGCATAAAAAAAAGGAGTTTTCAACGGGCATAAGTGGCCCTCAAAAGAAACGAAATGAGCATATGTAAAATGATACCCATTGGTATTACCGAGTAACAATCCATTGCAATAATACGGAGGATGTTGAACGACTCCTTCGGATCAGTTGATCGCGTGTATATGTCCCAGGCCAGTTGAGGTTTGTGATTCATTATTACTGGAATTTGAAGCATGTTGAATGGAATTGTTCAAATATCATCTTCAAAGATGTAAATGAATTAATTGCGTTGATGGCTTGCTTACCTACTTATCTCATAAAACATGACTGCTTTCGAAGTAATATTGGGGTGGGCAGGCTTGCATCTCCTCTCAGTGCGTAACAAAAAAAGATCCAACACGTGGAGAAAGAGTATTGCAAAGTGTATTAGGTTGAGTAAAAAGTTTTGATCGACCTTTCAATCTTCACTTTAAAGAGTCTTATTTCCATTGAAAGATGATCTCAATTAGTAATATAGTCTCCATCGTTGTCCTAAACATACCTCTAACGAGCCTGCAGTTTCTTGACTCCTGAAGCCTAGAAGGGTGGCGGCCACGATTCGAAAAAGCTGGAGATCCCATTTTTGAGCTTTGGGCAGTTATCAAGATTTCTATCGCGGAGGTGATGTTTCAGAGCAAGAAACAAATGGTAATCAGACGGAGCGAGACCTCGCGAATAAGTAGAATGGGTTAGCACTGCCCATCTAAGTTCGGCAACTTACTGACAAAATAATTTCGCAACATGGGGTTTAGCGCTGTCGTGGAAAAGGCAAACATTTTCACGCTGCGGACGCTTCCTTCGAACAACGTCGACTAAGCTCTGTAGCTGAAAAGCGTAAATCTCGGCGGTCACGGTGGAGCCCTCAGTAAGTTATCCAATGTAGAGCATTTCCTGAGAATCCACCGACGACACAGTAAAACCTTCCTCGGACATAGTCTACTTCTCTGTTAGTCTTGGAGGTGCTTCGTCATGAGGCACGCGTGGGCTGAGATACGATGACCTTTCTGGATGCACCATAGATATTTGCGGCAGCCGTCAGTGGATTATGCCCTTACAGTAATTCGTGATAGACAATAGCTCTCAGACAGCTTCGGACGCCAGTTTAAGGTTGAAGTCATTTTTGCGAAGCACTTCCAAGGGGATGCTTATATATCCTTTTAAAAATACAGGTTAGGGATCAGTCTACCATAATCCATTACGAAGTCCTTCCGAGCGGTCCTACGAAAAAAGGGACGAAGGCCGATCAAAACTTTTTACTCAACCTAATAGCATACATTTTCAAAGATCAGCTCACTACTTGCGTTTTCGGATTGGAAACTTTGGCAAGACATTTTTGTGATAGATGGCAACACCTGTCGCTTATTTATAGAGCGAGCAATTTCGAAAATACTCTTTTTTCCAAGACTCAATGGATATTCTTCACTGAGGTATTTCCAGCAGAATGATAACGAGGCTGGGCGAATGTGCAGAATGACGACCTAGGTGGCGGAAAGCGAGTAAATCGCGGATCAAAATTCACCGATACCCATCCAAAGATGTAGGTGGATGCGGTGGATAGGCTCCCTGTTTCTGCTGTGATGGGCTATTAACACGTTCTTTCACCATATCGGCTCAGCCAAAAGCTTGCATTCGAATGACTGGGAAGTAATCATTGGAGGCCACTCGCGGTCGCCTCCAATGATCAAGCCCTCGTTCACTCTGAGATAACCAGACTGGCTCTCCAGGTCTACTCGGCCCCCACGTCAGGGTCTAACAAGCTACTCGTGGGCACCTATATACAAATAAAAGGCCAATGGAACCATGTTATGTAAATGGGCCTGATTCCCAGGAACTTGAAGGAACATCATGACATCATTCAGCATCGTCGGGTAGGAATGCTGTAAAATTTCTGCGATAAAACAGGCCGCAAAGAAAAGAATGACAATCCGTATTTTCAGTATTTAGACCATTATATTTGAAGATGTATCGAAGATCTGATGATGCAAGACGTCGCGATGGACAACATCTGAGATGTATTGATAGATTGTATCTCCATGATAGAGCTGGAAAAATCGACAGGTGCCAAGAAACGACTCTCTTCGAAGACTCACAGGCTGATGCGCCAGAGTGGAATTCCGCGAACTGCAGGCAATCACAAACAAACGCCCGAACTTGCGAAGCTATGCAGAGAGGCGATAAATGAAGATCTGATAGAGAGACCATTAAGAGCATTCGCAAATCCCGCTGGAGTATCACTTGCATGACCCATACGACTTCTACCCGTATTCCTTACGAAACAGTTACTGCATCTTGAAGGGCAATAGAGCACGTCGTCTACAACTTCCACTCGGTTTTCTTCACAGCCATGCCTACCATCTCATGATTAGGCAATTTGGATATGTCGTTTCTTCAGTTATACCTTCCGAAATCCGACATGCCATCAAGTCGAGAATCACGGCGGCCTGTCCCGTTAGAATTAAACCCCAACGTTGAAGAGCCCTTCATCAATTAAAATCAAAACGCTGATTAAGCCAGCAGCTAACGCTCTTCATGTACCGACCGGCAGGACGAAACCATCTCAGCTAATCTTTTTAGTGCCACTCCCGCGAACATCGTTAGTCATTTGGAATGGGAAGACTTCACCTCACCAATAAACTATAAACATTTAGGCTCCTTTCCTGTAGGAATACGTACAAAAGAAAAGCTTCAATGTTCGTTGGGGAGTAGTGTCAGATGAATGCAAAACGCACAAGTCTTGGTCAGCATGTACTTGAACACAGGCTTGTCACGATCAGGTCCCGTAATCGCTAAGAAGTGCTCTTCTGCCTCTTTCCACATGCCGCATTGCATTTCTGTCTGTGCGATATTGAACGAAAACACATCGTCATTGTGGTGGTAGGCCTTAAGGAAGTTTGGCTATAAGAATGAAGTCATTCAATCTTTAACTTGCTTGGACCAAAATCTTACCTGAATCGAGTTGAGATAGACTAGGGCATCCTCATATTTACCACTTAGGAACAATGAACAAGCCATACTTTGCCGCCCAGGAATTGTATCTGAAAAGCTGCAGAATCCTTCAAATGTCAGCTCACGGAAAGATAGGTGTACGCTTTAATGTGCTGGAAAGGTGCAATAAAGGCCAAATATATCAGAAAGCCAATCAGCTCACAGTACTTCCGATGTTGTCAACAGTATTTCGATGTTTCCTAGAAGTACCTACTCAGAGTCGTCACCGTAGGACTGTTCATCTCCACAAATACTCAACCGCTCGCAAATAATTTCAACCCTCACGGATAACTTGCAGACACCGTGGACATATCGAGAAAATCACCATGATGACATAATGAGCAGGCTACTATAGTAAAAAAGACCCTCAAATGGATTCAACTCTCTGCCCGCCCCATCCGGCTTCAATCCGACTTCTTCATTCGTAAACCTTGCCAACCACAGTATTTTCCACTACTGCTACTACATATATATCGTCATATCAGGGGTCGGTGAGGCGAAAGAAAAGTGATATAATAACAAAGATTACCTGTATCATATGGGGACTCTCCTACCATTTTGAAGAATTGTTCAGCTGTCTTCAAGTGGTCTTTCTGAATAAAGTCGACAGACGTGCGTGAGATTCTTGTACAACGACAGTAGCAGTGAATATTCGAACGAAACAGCACTTACTGACTCCTTCAGTTGACCCCAGAAAGCGAAGACGATGGCTTTCACAAGGAACTCTGTAGTCGACTGCGGTTCCAGGTCGTTACACAATGTCATGGCGCTATCTATGTCTTCTGAAGTTAGATCAATCATGCAGTGATATTGACCTCACAATCAGTTAGACAGCAAATATGAGGTGGGTGCACAAAGTGAGCTCCCATTAGATTCGAGTGCTTTGTGCTTCAAATTGAAAAGAGAAAAGAGCTCTTCAGAAAGATTAGCTGCATCTCGAAAAGGAACTGATTTTTATTGCTGCATACCTCTTTTCAAATGGTAGAGGATTAGGTTAACTCTTGCTTCAGGTAACGTGTCCATCAAACCAGGAAACACCTGGAGGGCTCCGTCACCATCGCGGAAAACAACCTTGATGAAATTTCCATTGGTACAGCTCAGAGCAGAGATCACAGTATAAGAAACGTCATAAAAAGCGCTGTCGTAGAGTGTCTGGATGGTATGGGGAAGTACGACAATTGGCAATTGCCCCAAACAAGCCAGAGGTTTTACAATCGTTTCCGAGTATTCTCAACTGAAGGTAAGGGTTTCGACTGCGGGAGAGCGTTCTTCTTCCCCTCCCCCCATTTTATACCCTGGTATTGTATATCTCTTTTCAACTCAAAAAACACCTGATTACTTGATTGTGTCGAAGGATCTCGCGAGCAGCCGGATACAGGTTGACTCGCTGCAGTTGCTCGACTTCTGGCTGGAAAGAAGGATATCACGATCCTTGATCATAAAAGATCACCTTCAATTGTAGTTCATTTGTATTCGTGAAGGTTGTAATCGCAGTAATGTCAAATATGTCAATAAATAAATAATGTATCTAACAAATATTCATGAATAATCTAGCTAAAATGTAATTATAATCACAGTGCAAATACAAATACAAGAACAGATAGGTCACGATATTGGATTTCAATAAATGATCCACAAACCAATGCCGCTTTCCCGTTGTAGATTTTGAAAGTGATACAGGCCTTGAGGTTAAGAGCTGCCGGACTGTCCGCATATGATCGAAGATATACACTTAGTACTTCCTTAAACAAGTTGCATAAGATTCTGTCAACATAGGGAGTAGGTATTAGACATCAACAAAAATTGTCCCATTTTGGAGGAGCTAGCGCAGGATTCATGAGCCGTAAAGGAAAAAGGACAAAGCCTATTGGCGTTACTCAACCTCGCATTAAATATGCCGCTACGGTTCTGAATGGTCGTCTTCAAAACCGTAGCGGCATATTGAATGTGAGGGATGCGCTCACCTTCGACTACCATTCGGAACCGTAGCGGCATATTGAATAGTGGGCAGCCGTAATGCAAGTCAGTGCTCTTATCCTCCCAGGAAGCCCGATACCAATTGACCGACCCCGAAGGAATGGAAAGCTTTATTCAGCCTGTGCAGCTACTTTTTTTTCGTTGCTTCTAATTACGATCTCCATTTCTTTTGCCATTTGGAGCACCTCAGCTTGTTTTGTCTCATTATGCTTTGTTTTGTTCCGCTGTTACCCAAATAAATAAGTAAAAATCATGAAGAAAATTATAGCATAAACCTTTCACCTGAGCCACATCGAAGTAATCCATTTTGTAGTAGCACATTGCCATGTAGACATTGAGGGCAATCATATTACTGGAAAACTTGTCAGAAGTAAACTAGTTTGGAAATTATTGATATTTAATTAGTTTTACTTTCACGTTTTCAACAATAACTCTTTACGATTAGCCATCTGTCGGGAAGGGAGGTCATAAAAAATGCATTGCTGCAAAGTGTTACTTCATAAAAGTGTATACTCACGTGTGTTCTTGCAGGATCGTCTTGTAGATCTCGATTGCTTCCATGTAGTGCATGCGCATGTAGTGAATAGAAGCCAGCGACAACTGATCTTCCATTACATTCTAAATTCAACCTCTCAGAGAGTTGCAGAATCACCAGCATTCTACGTTATTCTTCCTCCAGAATTTTAAAGAGCTGATTTCTCCTAAGAACTTGGAGTGGTGTTTCTGAGAGGACGAAAGTGGCCACTCTCAAAAACTAGGTGTTGCGAAGCACGGGTGTAAATACAGTACGTTTCATAATTATAAGGTCACCCTCAAATTTTGCACTTTCAAGAAAAGCAATCATCAAGGATTTTTTCTAGCATCATGAACGGATTCCCCAGCACGAATAACCTAAGTATCCGTATTTTAGTAGCAGCTGCATTTTTCTGAGTTTTTTAGAACAGTTTATCGGTTTTTGCACCGTTTCATAATTATAAGGTCACCCGAGAAAGTGAACAATTATTAACGAAAGAGAGGAAATTTCGTGTTTAAAGATGCTTATAAAGATAAGCACGTGTAGCAAAGGCATTTCTAAATCTGGCTGTCAACATGGGTCGTGGTCATCTGCTTTCCTCTGATGAGAAGGCTCATCATGAAGGTGAGCTCAGTACTCGAGCCATCTCCAGACAAATAAGGAGATCCCCTTGGTCCATTCAAAGATTTCTGAAGAGCCCTGATGTTCCTAGATATAACACTGACTGGGGACAACCATGAAAGATTACTGCCCGTGACGAGCGGAAGATTCTAAGGACTGTTTCCAACAGTACGTCCTCCTTGAACTAGATCCGATCGGAATTAAACCTCTCTGTGTCGAAAACTACAGTCTGGAGAGCAGTGAGAAGATGCGAGGACATCACCAAGCGAGCAATGGAGAAGGTGTCACGAATCACCGATCGCCACAGAGAGGCTCGACTCGGATTTGTAAAGATGAACCTAGGGAGAGAGTGGGCAAAGGTAGATCTGCATCAAAATCTCACCATACAGCTGGATAATTCCTATTGAAGTCGTCTTTTCGGATGAAAAGAAATTCAATCTGGATGGTCCTGACGGAAACAAGCGGTACTGACGCGACTTGAGGAAGGAACCAGTCTACTTCAGCCGTCGCAATTACGGGTGGGAGAAGTCTATGGCGTGGGGTGCATTCTGCAGTGATGTCGTGTTGGATCTAGCCTTCGTGAGCTGCAGACTGGATTCCAAGGATTATCAGAACGTCTTGGAGCATCATCTAGTACCCTTTCTAAGCCGTGACCGTCACCTCAATTATGTCTTTCAACAAGACAACGCCTCCATCCACGTGAGCCGTGCAACGAATGAGTGGCTGCAATGCCAATAAATAAGCGTCCTGCCATGGCCAGCCTGCAGTCCCGCTATCAATTCGATGGAAAATATCTCGGGCATAATAGATAGACAGGTTTATGCGAATAACCGTCAGTTCCAGAGCACAGAAGAGCTGAAGCGGGCGATTATCGAGGCATAGAGAGCAATCGATGAGGAACTCTTCGAAACCTAGTTTCTAGTATGCCACGCAGGCTCTTTGATATTGCTCTCAAACAAGGAGGAGCTATAGATTATTAACTGTTGAACAAATGTCATTAACATTAATAAATCATTTACTTTCTCAGGGTGACCTTATAATTATGAAACGGTGCAAAAGCCGACACTATCTTTAAAAAATTCGTAAAAAATTTGAGGTAAAGGATATTGCGACCAAAATTTGACTACGGAGGTACATTGTGACGAGAAATCTTCCAGTGTTTGCCAAAAAATTCCATTCCGGCTGCTTTCTTCAGAATCACAAAAATCTGGGGTGACCTTATAATTATGAAACGCACTGTATGTTACAGTCAAGCATAGCCTCGGACTCCATAGAAATGATTCTTTGAGGGCTATCCATTTCAGACGGAGAGAGGATTGCTCTTGCAATGGTTGCTGACTTAGAGGCAACCAACGACGTCTTTAAGGCTGTCGAATCCATACCTACACTTACTTTGTATCTTACAATTAGAGAGCCTCGCGTGTCTTACTTGTCTTGGAGTAGGCGTACAAGGCTAGGGCAAAACGTTGAGCCTCGGAGTGAATGAACAAAGCTAAGCAAATCAGAACAGAATCTAGTGTCTCCTTCCCAGCGCTTTTCACATCGATTCGACCGGTCCAAGAGAGAAATGCTTCAAAACTCACACCGAGAAGTTGATGGTGTTGCATTAGCCGTTTTTCTTCACCGAGCTTATGAGATACGTGGAAGAGCAGTCTATTTTGCAGAGGAGATCGCTCAGCTAAATTATCACTATAAGTCTTGGAAAGTTGACGTTATAACGGAAAAATGGCACTGTAGTCATGAGTCCCTTTATGATACCAAGTTTCCAAATTGCTAAAGATCTTAAAAAGGGCAATCTTTTGAAATGCTCATTGAAGACGAGTTTGCTGAAACCCGGGCACATACTTACATATAGATATTCTAGAAGATTATGAAATATGAAGTTCATGCTTTAATCAAGTTCGTTGGGATGCGCTCCCGCATTTGACCTCCCCTCAGCATCAGAATGGCGTTTTGAGTGCGATATAGCCAGTTAGATGAGGTTAGAAGATGTGGCCAGCGGATGTAGAAATCAGTGCCTTTGGCTTTCCAGACAGTCTGGTACCATCTATCTGACCCCGGGGGAGATGAGAGGCGGCGCTGACATGGACACAGGTTTAACCGGTGTCTGAACCTGTGACCATGAATGTGTGACAGTGCGTCACGCCATTACAGTAGCGCTTCATATTACATACAAATTTGTGCTTGTCCCTAAAAAAATAAGCATATTCTTCCACAAGATTCAAAGAGCATTCCAAAACATTCCTTTTGATGGGGCATTTCGAGAGGAATCTGCTTGGCTGAACCGGTCGATCAGAACCGAATTTCAATAGACAGTGATTTTCAAAATTGTAGAGGACATCGCAGTTGAAGAGTCTCACCTTTCTCAGCAGCGAGTTTTGCATCCTCGTACATACCCAAATAAAAGAAGCATATTCCTAGATACACAGGGAGATCTGGGTTCTCGATGCCCTGCTTTTTCATATCTTCATACACCTAAAAATGAGTGGCACTGGTACAATAAATATTCTTGCGCACAGGAGAGAAAGGCTAGACGAGGAGATAGTTCAAAGGAGAGTGTCGACAAAAAATAGTTTTTTTGGGAGTGGAAGATCGCTGGTCCTGTTAGCGAAATAAATCTTCTGCTTAATTCTAGAGTACAGGCATTGCAGGCACAACTTGCATAAATAATTTATTAGAATCCTCCAAATCCAGTTCGAGGACTTCCAACAGTAGTCTACTAGTACATTGCTCACCGAACCTTTTTGAACACAATCCCTCCATTTGGGATGATAGCGAAGAAGGGGGCAATGGGAAGTGAAGGATGAATACTGGATCAAAGACAGTACAGGCATTATTGCTCTGCACCATGTGCATATTAAACCACCTTATTCGAAGTTTGCATGCTTTTTTACATGCATGCATGTAGTATAAAATGAGCAGCAAAGGCAATAAGAAGCTAATGTACTAGTATTCAGTCAAGTAGGCCCCAGCGACCCATTCCCAGCGTGCAGATATATCTGATCCCTGAACCGCTTCTTCTCTTCTGCAGGTGCGGTTTAATATAGTCTCGTATTTAAACGTGTATTCGCAATATCATCTCTTCAGTAAAGTGCCGTACAATTCGAATTGCGATGGGCTTTTGAAGACATAAGCGGTTAAGGTCTTCTCGTAAATGTGTGCTGCCGTCCATTTGCTGATATGATCGAGAAACTGGGAGCACACTTTGACATTGACGATCTTCCTCTTCGAATAGAATCACGAAAACGTTATGCTCTAACATTCTATAGTCATGATGATTTCCGCTTTAACCACCTAAATCCGCGCGAGTCATTTCTAGCGCCACCTAATCTGCATCCTTTCGAACCCAAGACTTGCCAGTTTGGGGCTCAGCGTGCAAATCTAATCTACCAACTTCCGTCTCGAAAGTGGAAAGGAAGATTGTTACCTCAGACATAACTTCGTTTTGAATTCTGCTTCAGACAGCAACTGAAGTATCTATCCACACGATACCCTAACCGTCTCCAACTCTTTGAGCACAGTTCTGTCAATGGTTTCAGCCGAAATATGTACATTTCTCGCGGAGAAATTCAACAATGGTGCAGCCTCTGCGGGGACAAAGTGAGCAATGTGGGCACCACTTCGGTCTTTAATTGTATCCGTTCGTCCTTCCTTGGACATTAGAACTTAATTTTAGGCATTACGTTTAGAGGCCAGTGAATTCAAATAATTAAAGGATTCCCTAACCCAGGAATTGCGCGCTCCAATTTTCCATCGCAATTCTGCGATGCGCAGCGTATGCGACGAGCTCGACCCGTGTTCGGGGAAAGATACCGGATCCCATCTCGTCTATACAAAACTAGTGTCTTCCTTTTCCATTGCCAGTTTTAAAGATACTGCATTAATGTTGGGGCTCCTGTTTCTTTCCCGCCATGGAAACCTTTCCTATGCAGCTGCGATAACGAAATCGAGCCGTGACGTAACAGAATGAACTAGCTTCGATCAAAACACCCATGACGCAACTGAATCACCAGGCTTGCGATCAAAACAATACCAACATACTTTGGCTTTTGTCACTACCCATTCAAACGTCTATGCACCTTACCATTACAATGATATGGCCTGACAGACCGATGACTTTAGCATCTTTGCGAGTACATATGGTGCCACTGATTCATTCCAAAGCCCTATGAAAAATCTTTTATCGAGGGTTCCCCATATATGTTCTCTATAGATGAGTTCTCATTGTAATAACAGTGAAACTTACCTATAAAGAACGGAAAAGATAAGGAATGAAAACTTCTCTAGAATCACAAATACTGCGCCGACTAGGAACACAAGCAATCTTTTTTTTTCTGTGAAAAAATTCGATAATCAAGGCCGTTTATGGTTCTGATGTTATTGGACGGTTTAAGAGGTCCAGACAATAATCGCATGACTGAGTTCCGATCTATGTACTGGCTCTCTTCAGCATTTACTTCTAACGTGAAGAATAGCCTTACCCGGAATAAAATAACCGCACTCACACCTTGCGTGTGTACACAGCACCCTTTTTCATGACGAGGACGCTACCTCTTACCCGGCTCGAAGTTGGATCGTTCACCAGCATATGCAGTTAGGGGGTTCAAAGGCACAGTACACGATAAAACAGGTTTCTGAGATTTTTTCGAAGGATGAATTCGAAGTCTCCTCGTATAGCATATCTGGCGTTATCGTCAAATTACCGTGAACTGTGCCTTTAAACTTGCTGATCATTCAGCCTAATGAGTCTCGTCCTTCGTAGGTTCAGATGCATTGTGGTTTTCACCAATCAGGCGATGTACCCGGTATTTCGCTCTTCCACTAGTCAGTGCCATGGCTTTGAATTGCTAGCGGAGTGAAAAGTTTATAGTGGGCAATTTATCCTATCATATATTTCTCTTCATTTTGGAGAGCAGTTAGTGGAAATTTTCAACGCAGTAGTACTTCTCTACTGGTCTCCCTGTACGAGTTGTGAGTATTCCTATGTACCGATTGTCTTAGGGTTTCGATAAGGAATGCCGTCACGGCAGATAGTCTTCTCCAACTCAGCCGAATTGATAGAATCTTCGATCTTGGCTCGACGGCAGCCCTTATTGCAATAAACAGTGGGATCTGCTGGATCCCACTATTCATTCAGACGTTTAGTGCACGAAAGGCTCTAGCAGAGGTAGAAGTCTTCAGTTGTTTCGATATGAGATAAGAAGTGTGTCCCCACAAAAGCTTGCCGGATTTTACAGGCATAACTTTTGAAAACATATAGCTCTCTAATATGGGTAACAACGATCGATGGGGCGACATGTGATACAGGTGATAGTAAGTGCAGAAAGGGACCCGAACATCCGAGCTACCTCAACCAACGAAGATTAAGGATGCCGTTGCTCACGCCGAGAAATCAAGATCAGGTGGGCAGGACACGTTATGCGATATCGTGATGACCGTTGGACCAGGGCAATTAATGGCTGAATGCCTCGGGACATCAAACGAACCCTAGCACGGTCGCCAGCGCGATAGTCAGGCTTGTTCATGAGAGCTCTGAACGAAAGGAATGTTATGCCTCTTGTCCCCTGAAGAGAGAACGATCCACTGGTCCATTATGGCGCGCGACAGAGACGAAAAGTCGATAATCAACGGGACGGCAGGTGATTCAAGTGATAGCTCTTTAGAATACTATGGTAGACGTAGAAAATTCTCACCTTACAAACAATTCATGTTTCATTGGCGTATAAACTCTGAGACTGTGCGATGACGATAGAATTCTCGAAAAGGAGCTACATATAGAAGGATCACTCACTTCTAACGCCTTCCTGTAATCGCCAGATCTAAAGAAACAGTGTCCAAGCCAGAGATCTGTTGTTTCGTTTTTCTCTCCATTCTTCTGCTTGAACTGAAACGAAGTCTACTATCATGTAATATTCACTATTGTATCTATAGAAAAAAAGCGTATAAGCCTTCACCTTTCAGCAAGGGTGAACTTGCTTTGGGATTTTTCCAATATTAAGCCAACGACACGTTCTTCTTTTCACCTTTCCAGTGGGACAAACGTGAAGAAGAAGGAGGTGACGTGATGCAATGCTCAAAGTCATAATGTGCCCTGCTAGCATGTTTAGAGGCAGAGTTCACGATATTTTTGAGTTACCCTTTTTAGGTAGAAAAGTGGAAGGGTTGATGTAGAGGAGTACATGGCTGGTCAAAAAAACAAGAAAATCCGCCTACTTCAAGGATTTTCAAAAGTAGTGGAAGTGGAGATTTTACAAGATCACTGTGTCGGGATTGGCATGTAAGGGGTGTTTGCACGAGATTAAACTTGCTCCCATTGCTCAAAGAGTTGACTACCTCAAGCCGAAATTGTCCGAGACTGCCTCTCATCGTCACCATGGATTATGACAATTTGTTTGAATTTCCTACATGGGAGTCCCTTGAAATAGCGTAGCCTCTACAAAGCCAATGAAACTCCCTACAAGGGGTGTGGCATTCACACGATACAGCTCTGGCCCCTTATTGTGCCCTACCCATTCGACCTTATAACGGCAGGTATGGAATAAGGGGTAGCCTCGAATTCACACTCATAATTGCACTCATAAATTCACATTCACACTCACTTCACTATAGAGAAATCTCAGAAACCATTTTCATCGTGAAGTGTGCCTTTAATCAAGGTGTATTATTCCATCTATTGGGGCTTACCCCACCCATGAGAGACGCTTGCCTGTTCATCAAGGCGGAAACGACATTGACGCAGCCTGCACGATTTGGGCCGATGTAGAGTTAAGCGCCACTGCTTATTTTCCCATATATGAAAATCAAGTAGGATAGGCAAGAATTCCGTAGTTCAGTGATTGCTCCAGACAGATAGTAAGCGGTCAGGCGCAGAAGAATGGTAACCTTGCGGGCTCCCTTCTCCTATTACGTGCTGTTTCAATCGACAATTGGATTCAGGATATAGACGCTTATAACGAGGCATAAGTTAAGANATAGCGCCGTAAAGACATAACTTTACACATTGCCTTGATATGGGTATTGAGAAACGCCTCTCAATTCCAAGTCAAGCCCCGAATCGCTTCCTCGCTCCGTTATCCCGCTTCCCTGCCTTTAATGTGTTCCAGCTAATGTAAAGTGGCACCTTCGCTCACCTCTAACAACGAGATCGCTGCCGTGTAGTCCTTTTTGATGAGAAATTCCTCGAGATCTGGAATCTGCTGACGAATCTGTGGACGAGGTGCTGGTGACTGCTTTTTTTTCGCTGGTCGAAGTCGTGAGAGTAGCTAAGCGAAATGTCAACTCAGTTCACGTTGTATCATTGCGAAAAACTTATAAGTGCAGAGTGATACCATTCGAACACACAGTCATCAAGAAAGAAAAAGGTTTCCATAAAGAAAAAACAGCCGAGCTGCAGAGGAAAGAACCATCTCACATGAGCGATTTTCTGCGAAAAGATCGTATTAAATTCAATGTAAACTAGCAAAAGATGACAAATTGGTCGATCTGGTCAAAGTAACATTTCAAGAAATTCTGATCTCTTTGTTCTCTTACCAAAAAAGGTAAAAATTAGTTCTGCTAACTGGGTCAACCCTTCTCACATTTATAGTTTCTTGAGCTTTTGAATTTTAGCTCCTAATTTGAGATTCCTTCCACGCTCTCTCTAATTTCTTTGTTGATCATCTCGCGATTTCTGGTCACATTCAAGAAAACTTAGGCAAAACAGCCTTGTCAATAGAAGGAAGGGTACGATCTCCACATTCTATCGGATCACGCTCAAACTAATCATTGTCACGGATTCCGCAAAACGCTAGCGTTTCGGCCTTTCAGGTGGATACACACTATTGGTTTGGTAAACAGCAGATTTGAATTTTTCGGAGACAGTTTTGCACCAAAAATGGTACCCGCCTCGTGTGATCCCAAGTTCTCTTCACAAATCTCCAGGCTATTTGCTTCTCGTTTTTCGAAATTCGAAACATACGAAATTAGGCAAAAGAAAAACGACTGAACTCTGTTCATCGAATTATACAATTTGGTTTTTTACTATAATGAAAAATCTTTATTCTCTAACAAGGTGGCTCCAAGGACAGGAATGAAAAGTTTGTCAAAGAAGTGCCGCTATGTTGGTTTCCCTTTACAAGTTGTGAGTACCCCTAGACAGCCATCTTGAAGAACACTTCCAAGTTCAGCGTAACGGCACCTCTTATTACAGCCAAAGTGGCATTTATACTAAGTTCAAAAAGGGTAATGAGGCTAAGTTTCAGATGATAGCCATGTAATGAATGAACTGTCCGGGACAGACTGGAGGCTCTGTAAAGATTTCATCGGCATTCACTGTGCTATGTGACAATAAACATCAGTATTCATTGTCAGGGAGTTTGCCACCTTTTATTGCCTTGTCAAATTAATAGTTAGAATGTAAATTTCTGAATTCTCAGAACGAACGCAATAACTGATACTTGGCAATTGATTTGTCTCCACTTCGGCATTAGGTACGGCTGTGGGTACAGGCACAGGAACTGGACCAACTCTGGTGTGGCGATCACTTTGAAAGCATTTTGCCAGAAAGTTGACCCCTTCTCGTAATATTCCAAGATCAGGTGGATTACGCGCTGCCTGTTCATGGTGATGATCATTCATCGAAGTATAAGCGAACAGAAGTAAAAACAAAATGTAGTTGTTGGTAAAGCAGACCTAAGCATAATAGAATAGCATTGGTCCTGGGAATCGAACACTACTCATTGCAGCCGTGTAATATGGTCCCCTTGAAATCAAATTGCACCGCTGAAATGTGTAGTGTTCGATTCACCAGGAACAGGTGGTCCTTTCGGCAAGGTATGCCGCGTGCTGAGAATGAGGACCTCATAGGCCATTTTGTAATCGAGACAACTACGACATTTCTGCAGAGCTGCAGCTCTAGTCCTGGTCCAGTAAGTTTGTAGGTACTTACAACACAAAAAAGATGAAAACGCCTGTTCACCTCTTTTGCGTGAATTAGAGGTTTCGTTTGCAAAACCTACTCATTTTGGAGAGCTTTTCATCTTTCTACTATGGTATGGAACGGCCTATCCGAGAAACCTGACTGGCTGGAACATGAGTCAATTGTACCATACCTGGGATGCCCATAAGTCCTGGCGTAAAGCATAAGACAAGCCCAAAGTTTCTTTCAAAAACATAGAGGCCCTAATCGCACATCATGGATGTGGTTCTTAAGCCAAGCTTCTGAGCACATCAAAAGCGACTTCCTGGATTTTCATTGCCTCAATCGGCTTAGTTCATTATCTTCGTGTTTGGATTTACCTTTACTATGCAAGCAAGCACCTTTTCAAAAGCTGTTCAGAAGAAACAGAAATCCCTGTAGTACCGGTGGCATGGGCAAATGTTTTGGTAGGAATAGTATCCTCTCGTGGCTGTATCAGTTTTCCAAAACAAACTACGGCACATCGATCAGTGGCTCATCCATGATATTCGCAATTTTGACTATACCAAATAGGCGATGTCTCTAGTGGAAACCTTCGGTAGGTTCAGTGATTGCCTTCATGAACCTTGATCCTTACTCTACTCTCTTGAAGTGAATTTCTAATGCTCCATCAAACCGAGTGAAATCATCTACATATTGCAGTTTCCATTGATGTTCTCAAAAGAGAATAAGAGTTAAGCACTAGTGTTGAGGTTTCTCCGGAAGGGAAGTCGAAGAGCACTAAAGTCTAGCTTAATTCCAAAATTCTAAATAGCATTTAGAGAGAGGTAAAGATGAATTCTCCCCAGTTCTATGAACTCTATAGAAAACAAAATTATTTTTCACATTCTACTTCCTACTTGGTAAGTGAAGCGAATGTGCCAACTTCCGAGCAACAGAATTCGACCCAGTCGCTTTGCGCATTAGGCTAACTCTAGCTGTTTTTCGTATAAATTCACTTAAATGAAAGCAATTGAACGGAAAATCTTGTAAATGATTCGTCCACCAAGGGTAATCTCCTACTCGGCATAGGCATGAATTCCCAAATGATTCGTGCGATTTGCTCCCTCATTTTATTCAGATTGTAACGAGAACCACGATATTTTCGCTATGAAATAAATATTTGTGAAATTTGATACTTGTAAATCTCACCATTTTTTTGTATGAAGGGTAGTGGAGCAACGGAATAGGGCAGAGGTAGACTTCCCGTCAAGGCTTACCATGACAACCGCACGCTGACCACCATCAACACTTCTCGCAGGCGGTGGCGGCAATTTCAACAACTCATTTCACCTGCCTTCATATTTGTGCAATTGTACTTGTAATCCACTTAGATCCCTTCACTTACAAAACACTTTGAATCATTGACCGTACCCCTCATTAGCTGAACCAATCAACATAATTTGTTCTAAAATATCAGGCTGTCCCCACAGAGGGGTTTTTTTCAAACCGAAATTTCTCGCATAAAGCTGTTTTTTTACAGGGATTATGTCTTAGACCCCTCCAGAGATATGGGCAATAACGAATTTCATATTGATCCCCTTTTTCCAACCCAAACCACAGTTCCTCCAGAAAAAAGACATATGTAACCGTTATAGTCTCAAACTTCTCTCTTGTTTAAACCTCATCATGGCTGTTGCGATGGTTACAATCTTGTTATACCACTCTATAATACTGTCGATACCTTCCGAGTGGCACAGGACATGGACTGGAGAACAATAGGAAAAACTTCATTAGAGAAAAAAGCAATATCAACTCGTGCAATAATGAAATTTCCACCGATAGCAAGCCTAATAATTCCATATAGTAGGATATTCAATGAGTGGCAAAACGAAAAGCTACTGGTCGACTAACTGTGGTCTTTTCTTCAGCAGCCCTAGTGGTTAGTCCATTTTGCCGATTTTCTTTCTTCTTTTTTCCTTCGTTCTCACTCTCCCATTTGTTCAACTTCAGCGACTTTCACTATTCTTGAGAATGTTGTAGAAATATGAGCAGACCGTTCATTTCTCATCGATGAACTTTTGAGTTTTCGCGACTCCTTGCCAAGGAATAAGATTGAGAGTTTTCAAAGAAAGACGCAAGGAGAACGGAATGATTTCAGTAGACGATGGCGTTGGAGCTTCGTTCCCCAAGTCTGCATCTCCCTCTCGCATCAGAAGTGAAACTTCGCGCTGAGGAGATAATGGTCCATTCTCGTCTAGAAAACAATAACCACACAGACTAGGCGAGACTTGTGGGGGAGGGGGGAGGGGGGATGGCGAAGACGTCCAGAACTGACGATAAGCCGGTCAGAACTGACGATAAGCCACATTTTTTTGACTGCAGGCTTTCGATGTGAGGCGTTGAACATTTGTAAAGGTTGACGAGAATGCCTACTGCAGTTACAATTCCGCCACCGCAGTAGGCATTTTCGTCAACCCTTGCGAATTTCCATCCATATTGCATATTCCATGAAGTATTTCTTCTCCAGTCTCCGAAGCGAAGTAGAGATAACTAGGCATACCCGTGTTGATTAATCCGATAACGTCCTACTTGCTCTTCTCAGTGCATCATCAAATCTCAAGTACCCGCTTCTGATGCAACCGCACAAATTACCTGATTAAGCCCTCTTGTATTGGACAGCCATTTAACAGCTCAGAATATAAAGTTAAGTGCCTCGTTAAGTGCGATGGTAGTAATAAAAATTGTAATTAGCGACACTTCTTGAGAATAATCTAGAAGTTTTTGACCTAACTCAATCGAATGCTGAACTCTTTCTTGGTAAAGAGCAAGACGAATACAACAGTTCTCCGTGGTCGCGTATAGGCAACTAACCGAGAACGAGACAGCTTAATAAAAATGTCGCGACCTCCAAACGAACCACACACGGTGCATGAGTGCACTTGTGTTGAGACTTAGGGTCCGCTCTCTCTGCAACTAGGGCTGCATCCGATCACGAGCTGTGAAAAGTAGTTTTGCATTTCCGGGGCAAATTTAGGTAAATGCCGCGAAACCACTGCCAATTGCCGAGTGTGGACACTGCCAGCAGGAGGAGACAGGAAGCGCGGATCACCTCAGAAACCAAAAATAGGGTGATCACTCCCTCGATTCACCTTCATCTCAAGTCGTTTACGTGTAGTTTTTGGCATGTGACTCGCCTTTTTTCAATACTTGCAGTCATTTCAAATAGCCTAACACGGCTCAAGATCCCTCAATTTCCACTTTTTTAGAAGATTGCAGTGGTTGGATTGTTTCGCAAGTCGATTGGAGTATCGGTAGATTCTTGGCATATTTTGACGATATTCGCTGTTGCTGAGAATTCCGCTATGTCGCTACAGTTAATGTATAGCGGGAATAATCTGTAGCATACATGCAGCCCAAACGGTTAAAGAACTTTGCATCCGTCTTCCTTTCCCAACTCCAATTATGTGATAAGCAGAACAATAAGTTTCGCAAAGCCGACGCAGGATCAAGGTCTAGAGTATCCAGTGCACTCAATGTCAAAGGCACAGTTCACGATAAAAATTGTTTCTGAGATTTCCCTAAACTATGAAATCGAGGCTCTCCCTCATAACATACCTGCTGTATGAGGTCGAAAAACGGCCTTGATAGGGCACAATAGGGGACCAGAGACTGTGCCGTGTGAATGCCACACCCATAGTGGACGAGTTTCAATGGCTTTGCAGAGGCTGCATTTTCTCAAGAGACTCCATGTAGGAAGTTATAACAGCTTGTCCTAACCAATGGCGAATGTGAAAGGCAGTTCAGGCAATTTCGGCTTGATGTAGTCATCTTTTTGCGCAATGGGAGCAAGCTGAATCTCGTCCAAATACCCTTACATGCCATGCCTATAACGGAGATCTCGTACAACCTCCACTTCCGCTACTTTTAGAAATCATTGAAATAGACGGATTTTCTCGCTTTCTTCGCCACCGATGAACTCTTCTACATCAACACTTCCGCTTTTTCACCTGAAAACGGCACCTCAAAATTATCGTGATCTATGCCTTTAAGAAATGTAATGTCAATTAGAGTGGATATGATATGATAGTGGAGTGATAATATTGGGTTGTCCCGGAAGTTTCCGTCGATTTCTGAGTCATATTCGGTAAAAAATCCTTGAAGAACTAATCCGTTCATCAAACATTATATCCTATACTCTTTTCAGTAATGTTTCATAGAAGATTCCAGACTTAGAATGGAAAAACCCTTTTATGTGCTTTTTGAAGTCCTCCAGCGAATTGAACGATATTCCATTCGGAGAGTTCTGCAGAAAGTAACTGAATGGCAGTCTGATGGTGCTATCTCCAGACTATATGGAGGGTGAGGTAACACATCTCAGCCGAGCTAGATCAATTTTTTTACGAGAGCCCAAAAATACGTGTGGTTTGGAGTTGTCCTGTTTGAAGACAACGCCCCTACGATTGACCCTTTCTAGACGCTTCTGGTCTATCGCTGCCTTCAAATTGTCAAGTTGATACAGTACCTTCCCGAAGTTATCGTTTGATTATGCGGATAATAAACGATTCCCTTTCATCACACCATCTACATAATCTTCCGCACCTGAATTTTTGTGGTTTGTGGACGGCTCACTGGAAAAGCTAATTGGTCGTTTCTGCTCCACATTGCTGTACACGACCCACTTTAAGCCCATTTTCATGCGTTTCAGAGACAGTTCATTTTTGTCCCGTTTGAGCAAAGAGTCGCACACGGAGGCATGGTCCATGCGCTCGCTTAGTTCGTTGCTCAGGTGCCCAAATATCACGGCGAGTAGTCGACAGGGTGGTGCTCTGCTTGTCTGCTCCCTCTTGACGATATAGAAACAGCTATGATGCACATGTAAAGCAAAGACAGGAAATTGCCACCTAGAGGCCTAGAAGGCTGTAGGAAAGGGAGAACTGGGGTTAGCAAGAAATTTTGCTTGCTATTTGTGAAACCTGGAATATGTGGATTTCCATTGCCTCGCTAAGACAAGTGCAGACAAGTCGTGCGCCACATAGTCGCCTGGCCAATTGCAAATTCTTGTAACATCAACGACAAGGATTACCTCGAAAGCAACACCTATAAAATGGCTGGAGTTGTAAAGCCTTGAAAGTTGTACAAAGATGTGG